CGCCCCCCATTTTGCATTTTGAAATGCTCCCGATTTCTGGGGTCTCAAGGTTGGCAAGTATGACCATGACATCAAGGGTACAGGGGCTACGTTTGTTTTATAGCAATGTACAATTTTCTTAATTCGTCAAAAGCATACATAAATGTTTTTATTTAATTTAAGTTTCTATGTTGGTTTGTTTCTCTTTAATCATGCAGTGTCAAATGTTGTCTTTAAAAATGTCAAAAACCTAACCGTTATAATCTTCATACTCCTTGACTTTTTTCTGATTCTTCTACAAATGATTTTCGGTGATAAAAACAATAAAAACTAAAATAAGTAATAAGTCTATTGGTGTATCTTGTATTTTCATATAATACCATACTGCACATATTCAACTCATATTAGCTATTAGAGCACATGTGTCAAACTCAAGGCCCGGGGGCCAAATCAGGCCCGTGGTGGATTTAATTTCGGCCCGCAGGATAATTTCTAATTCCTATGAGATCTGTTCAAATCCTCAATTCATTTGGTTATCAGTCGAGTAATAAGCGGGTTTAAAGGCAGCTAGCCCGTCTTTAGCTACAACACGTGAGAAAAAGGTAGCTTTGTTGTGATGTAACTAACGCTCCACTCACCACAGAGAAGGACTTATCGCAGAGCTGCTGAGCTTCTGCTTGGAGCTCCATCTTAAACATGTAGCCTTTGCTGCCTGGGACCTGGAGAGAGAGACATCACATGGAGCCACGATGCCACACATGGAGGTGTGTTATGTAGATGGAGGAAGGCGTACCTGAGCCACTCTGTGAAGTGTGAGCAGAACAGCGTGGCCTCCAGACCGTCTCTGGGGAATGTACTCCTTCTTCTTCCTCCCCCCTCCTTTGTTTTTCCCTTGATCCCCGGCTGCATTCTTCTACAAGGAAAGTTCAACAAAAGAAGTCACAAATAAGAGGTTTTCAACTACATATAGGGTCACACACACACACACACACACACACACACACACACACACACACACACACACACACACACACACACACACACACACACACACACACACACACANCTAACAGCTCCGGCGATCCACTAGCAGGTTGGCAAGTATGACCATGACATCAAGGGTACAGGGGCTATGTTTTTAAGAAAATTGTACATTGCTATAAAACAAACATAGCCCCTGTACCCTTGATGTCATGGTCATACTTGCCAACCTGCTAGTGGATCGCCGGAGCTGTTAGATTAACATTAACATGCATAAAGGAGGGAGCAGAGAGTAGAGTGGTTGTCGATTCTTGTTCTCTTTACTGTGACTATCTGCCTCACCCTCAGACTTTCAGTTGCGCGCTACTAAAGAGACGTGTTACCATGGAAACCAAACAATGGTGTAGCTGTATTAAAGTCTGAGGAGAAACAGTCCTGAGTAAATCTGATTTTGTCAGAAATCGGGAGAAATATGACCCCGGGAGGAAACCGGGAGAGGGCAATGAAATCGGGAGTCTCCCGCGGAAATCGGGAGGGTTGACAAGTATGGTCATGGTAACACATGTTAATAATAATGTGTAGTATTTTAAATCATGTGGCAGCACATCACCCCCACTCTCTCCAACCTCCACTGGCTCCCGGTCAAGTCCCGCGTCACCTACAAACTTTAATCCGTGGCATTTACCCCGTGGCAGTTGTAGCTTGCTGGAAGAATATCTAAGCCCCCTGATGTCATGCTAAGACATCTTACTAATGTTTTGTTTTTTTAAATCGTACATTTTGGGAAAAACCCGTTGCCCCCGGAGAAAACCCGCTATGCCACGGACAAGTTAGTGGCTTTTATCTCCTAGCCTGCTGAGCTCGATTCTCCTCAACCGTTTTCATGTGTTCAAGGAAGTCATTGTGAACGGTGGCGTTGTTCACCTTCAAGCCGTTCATTCGGTCCTGATCGCCGTTTGGATTCTGAACCGCTGTGTTTCTTTCCCTCAGCGGCCCATCACACATAGACTGCAGGTCGTTCATCTTTTCCTGCAGGGTTTTGTTCTGAGAACGACCCTTCCTCAAAACACCAACCTGTATGTTAAGGTCCACGAGATCCTTCGCCATGGCGACACTATCACACCTCAAGGTCTCGTTGGATGCCTTCAAAGCCTCGTACTTGATCATGAGATGCTTTTCCTTGTGAACCTCATTGCTCACACCCTGGATCTTGTTAATTAAAGCCTCGTTCTTCCTCTTAACGTCCTCTCTCTCAGCTTTCGCCTCCTTGTAAGAGTCCTCGAGCTCCATGAAACGCAGATGCCTTTCCTTGAGCTGCAACACTTCTTCTCTTAGGGAGACATGTTCGAGGCTCATGGCGGCTTTTTCTGTCACCATTGCGTTGTAGCTTTCCCTAATGGTGTCCTCGTTCTGAAGTTCTTGGCACAACTCGACTTTCTTTTGTTGCAACAGTTGAATTTGCTGGAGAATCAACTGTTTTTCTTTCTTCGCAATGTCGTGTGACCCCTGCAGGTCCTCTAAACCCAGAAGCCTCTTGGAAAGCTCAAAGATCTCTTCTTGCAAGTCTTCGGTTTGACTCCTTTCCTCATATTTCGACCGGTTCATTTCGTCCATCTCAAACTGCACCGTGCTTTCATTTTCAAGCTCCCTGCAGAGGTCGTCCACTTCCTGCTGCAGAGCCTGGTTCTTCTGGAAAGCCGTCTCTATCTCTGCCTTAGACACTTGGAAACGATCCTGAAGTTGCTCTTTCCTTTGCTTGAGACACTCAAGTTCTTCCTCAAGGCCACCATTTACTCTGATGGCTTCCTCTGCGTCACTTCTCAACGCATCGAGCGTTTCCTCTGCAGCAGAATAGCTTTGGACCGATGAACGCGCCTCTTTAATCTGTGCTTCGAGCTCTCTCCGTCCACGTAGCGCAGCTCCGTGCTCGGCTTTGATAGCATCGATGCTATCCAGCTCATCTAGCTTGTCAAACATCTGTCCCTCGAGGATCTGTCGTTCACGCTCCAATTCCTCGTTTGTCCGGATTAGTCCCTGGAACATCGCCTCTACGGTAACGTTATTTTGGATCTTCTCACTAAGAACCCTCACTTCTTTTTCGAGGTAGGCACACTTGCGCCTCGCGACACGTTCCTCGGCCTTCAGAGCGTCAAACTGCTCCCCCAGCGCTGGAAAGCTGCCGAACTGTTTTTGTATGGATTGCATTTCAACATGTAGGGTCTTGAGATGTTCTTGAACTGCCCCAAGACTCCTCCGAACTCCAGCGTAGTCGCCTCCCATTTCCGCTTGTTCCTTATTGCAGGACATGTTCTTTTAAGATTATAATGATACACACACAGTAGCAACTGGTAATACCTAACTGTTTCTTCGCGGGGAAAAAACAGAATTTCGTGGTGTGTTGTCAGCGTCGGACTGGTTTCTGCTAAACCAAGATATAATGTGCCTTGAAACTCAAACTGGTCTCCTTGGTGGTTCCCATTTGGAACTATCGATGATGTCACAAAGCATCATCATGACATCACTTGGAATTTCTGCACAATGCTCACATGTAGAGATGTGGCCATGGCAACAGTGAAGATGCATTCTGGGTAACTTTGCCCAGGCATTCCATTTTTGAAAAACAACAACAAGATGGCTGACTCCTACTCTCTATTCTACTCAATATTAAGGGAGTTCTTTGTGGAAGATTATGTAGTGAAAATGAACACACCGATGTTCTGAAACTAATATATAAAAAGGGACTTGTTTTGGGATGTCTTGTTAACAATAAACCATTATTATTACTTAAAAATGTTCGTCAAAAGCAGAGAAAATACTCCAATTGAAAATACTTACTAATAATAGTCTTTATTAAAAAAAAAGTTGAGTCTGTATGCGTGAAATATTAATGTTTTTGGTACAAAATTAGCTTGAGCACAATATTTGTATTGGCCATTTATTGAATGATATGACGGCACGGGGTTACCGGCAAGACCAAGTGCTACCGAGGTGTCCCTGAGCAAGGCACCGTTCCCTACACTGCTCCCCGGGCGCAGTACATAATGGCAGCCCACTGCTCCTAACACTAGGATGGGTCGAATGCAGAGAAACAATTTCCCCACGGGGATTAATAAAGTATATCAAATCAATCAAATCTGATCAGAGCGTCCTGAATATTTGTATTTTAATTCAGTTAACTTTGATGTGTCTGTAGCCAGATCTGGGCAGTAAG